AGTTTAATGCAAACCCAAGATCTATATGTGAGACCTTGACAGTCTCAAAAGATTTTTTTTTTAAAAAAAAAGAACTACAGGAGTTTTTTATAGGATGCATTTTTGTACATTGCAAGCAGCTTCTGTCTCAGTCCCTTTTGTAATCACCGTGATAAAACGACCTGATCAAGGCAACTACAAGAAAGGGTGTCTTTTGCCTCCCAGTTCGGGAGTGGGTACAGATACAGTTCATTACAGTGGGAAGTGACAGCAGCAGGAGCTGAGTTTCTTCTCTCCTTACTGGCTGGCGGGATAGAAAAATCCTTGTACACTATGGGCCTGTAAAACATTCTTCCCCATTAAAGCTCTAACGTCATTCTAGGGGTAACCATTAGTATTACTTTCCATCTGTCCATAAATTTGGATGGCTCTGAGGACATCACATGGTAGTATCCTTTTAGGGTAGGTTTATTTCACTACACAGAATGTCCTCAAAATCCATCTATGTTGTAATGTGTCAAGTTTTCCTTCTTCTCAAAGGCTGAATGATACTCAGTCTTAAAAAGGCCACGTTTTGCCATCTGCTCAAGTTTGGATCTAGAATATCCTTCAAAGGGTCACGTGTCCAAGGCTCAGTCCCCAGCTGTCGCATGGCTGGAAGGCAGCAGAGCCTGTAAATGCAGATAGGTTAGAGGATGGTCTTAAGTCACCCAGGGCACCTGAAGGAGATTGTGGAACTCTGGGTCCTACCTTCTTCCATCTTTCTCTCCCAGGCTCCCGCTTGAGGTAAGCAAAACGAAATTTCCAAAATTATGTGTCAAAGTGAACTTTCTTATCACACCACCACAGATACTTGTTACAGTACCAGAAAACCCACGAGCACACCACCATCCATGAAAGGACCAAGTCACTCCCATCTGTTGGCTTCGTGAATAATTGCTTTTACGAACAAAAGTGCAAAAAAAAAAATATCTCTTGAATCCCTGCTTTCACTTCCTTTAGGTATGGTCGGAATACCTGAGGTCTTTTTTGCATAATCCTAGAAGCAGAACTGCTGGATCAAATTGTAATTCTATATTTAAGCAGCTGCGTCATTTTACATCCCCACTAGCAATACACAAGAGTTTTAAATTCTCTAACGTCCGGCCAATACTTGTTTTACATGTCCCCATTGGCAGCTATTCTTGCGAGTTGAAGGTAGAAGTGTATGGTGGTCTTGATTTTCTAAAAAGAAAAGTATTTATTTATTTATTTTATTTATTTATTTTAAGATCAACCAGTTGTGGCTGCTCTCCAGCATCCTGCACAGATGTGAGTAACTAATTATGAAACACCCTTGGCCAGTTCTCAGTAGCTGTCTTTTCTGAGCTTGGTTTCCAGGCGGCCCCGGCCCCTCTTTATCACCATTCTTCCTGCCCAGCCTCTCAGTGACAACCAGCCTCTGCCCCTCCTCTAACTGGTTATCGCCATGAAAGTTATGGATACCAAGAATGTGTTCTTATCAGACCCAAACAGAACTGGAGCTGGCTCATGCCCACGGGCTTGAGGTAAGTACTTTCTCGAGTCCCACTAGAGATTCCTCCTCACAAACTTGGGCAATACGGCTTCTCTTCTTTTCCAAATCACTGACGTATCTGGCTTTATGAGACAGGTCTTGCTACACAGTTCAGTCCAGCCTTGAGCTGTGTAGCCCAGGCTGGCTTCAAATAATCCCACTGATTCAATCTCCTGACTAATAGGATTACAAGTGTGCACGACCATTTTCCACATTCAAGACCACCTCAATTCAGAGACGATTTCTCCAGACAGAATGATGCCAGCCACAGTCCCTCTACCATTGTGCTGACGTCAACACCTGCCCATGTTTCCAAGACCAATGAACCCTATACTATGTGTAAATTTCTCCCTTTCTGTCTTACCACCCCCAGGGCCCTCCTTCATGCCTCAAATCTCCTTGAACATACCCGGGGTTTTCTGTGGCATGCCTAGTCCCGTTACAACACTCATTAACATTTTGAAATAATATTTTTGGAGAATATCTGGTTGTTAACTACATAGTCTTATGGTTTGGACCTTAAATGTCCACCGAAGGACCATATGCTAACAGTTTGGGTACTAGCTCATGGTAGAAGTGGCAGAGAATAAAAGCTTTAGAAAAAGGGGGCTTAGTGAAAGGAAGCTGGATTATCCGGCACATACTTCGGAGAGACTGTGGGACTCTTCTTCCTCTCTGCTTCCCAGCTGCCCCGAGGTGTACAGGCTTCAGTCAGTATATTCCAACACCCATAATACTCTATGCTGTCATGGGCCCAAAGCAACAAATGGAGCCCTCTACAGCTACGAGTTCCAATGAACCTCGCCTCTTTTTAAGTTGTTTATCTCCGCTATTTCCACAGCACCAAAAGGCTGCCAAAGATTGAAACCACACTTGCCTTCCTATCTACACGTTACCTAGTCCTTCACAGGCAACCCGTCTTCCATGGAGCTCCAGCTCCGGACATTTGGGGCAGCCAAGGGACATAGCTCAGCTGATAGAGAGCTTGCCTAACATGCAGAAAATCTCGACTTTGATTCCCCCCCCCCAAACACATCATAAACAGGGCACAGTAGATCCACACTTGTAATCCTAGCATTTGGGAAATGGAGGCGGGAGGGTCAGAAGTTCAAGGTCATCTTCAACTACCAGGTGAAGGCCAAAGCCAGCAGGCCCCCAACCCTCTCCCCGGAAGAACTACAATTAGGATTCAGCCTCCCAGACACTAGTACTTCCTAGACATGCTACCACCTGTCAATTATAAAGGTACAATCTTTTAAAGAAACATAGTTCTTACACTATAAGAAATCATAAGGCTTTGTCTGCCGCAATTGAAGAACTTGGTCTTTATGTATCACCTGTTTTTCTTTTCTTTTCCATTTCAGCTATTTGGTGGCTGGTGCTCTGTGGGTCATTAAGTAGACACAGTAAAACACCATGCACAGTTAGTTTTACTTTATTTTTATGGGGGCTTGGAGGTTCACTATGTCACAGGCTGGGATAGATCTTAAAATGGTTGTAGCTTCAGGATCTGTAATAGTCCATAGCATAAGAGTTTCAAAAATGATCTGTTAAGCAAAGTAGATTTACTAAAGCAAGACTAAGTGTCGGCCTTCTACCACCACAAGTAAAGCAATCTCAACCAACAGTGGCTGGTGGAAGGTGAGGAAATACAAAACCAGTTACTATTAATTATATTTCCACTTTGTGAAAATGTACAGTATGAAAGGCACAGTATGAACCCATGTGTGACAGCACACAGCTGGAATCCCAGATACTTAGAATGTAGAGGCAGGAGGATCATGAGTTTGAGATTAGCCTGGGCTACACAGGGAGAGACTATTTTCTAAAGTACATACATACAAACAATAAAATATATAGTTTTTAAAATCAAAAATCCATGTTTTTGGTTTTTAAAAAATATGATGCTTAGGATTAGACCCAGGACTGCAAAAACAATTTGAGGTTTTTTGTTGTTGTTGTTGTTTTGTTTTGTTTAATTCATCAGTCCTCTGGAACACAGAAACTGAGCTGAAACAGCACATTTATTCTTGCTAGCCGATTGATTTCTTTTATTAATGTATTTTTCCTAACTGAAGCCTGCACCCAGATTTTTCCTTCTGGCTAGGAGAGCTCCTCAGCTTTCACAGGGTTGGTTAGAGGACCAGTCAGGTGTTTTGCACGATGTTCCTCAGCTGATGTTTGTGTGGTTTGTCATGTTTCTCTCAGGGTTTGCCTGGAGTTGTGGGATTTGAAAGAATACCCCGTGGGTAACGAGCCCATTCTCACACAATCCTATCAAAGGCACAAATGTGTTTTTGACTTTTTGGTCACAACAAACACCTTCGCCCAATCCTGATGCCTGTCCAAACTGATAGACAGTCCCTAAGTGTAGGTGCCAAGTGTATCAGATGTCTATATATCAGAGACACATCTGCATGCTTGGGAAATCATACTTGCCTTAATTTAGGTTTTATATGAGGATTGCAAGGCTTTCACTTCGAAGTTAATTTCTTTCAATGATTGCTGGTTTTGAATTCTCACTCAAGGCTGTCAGTCCGTCGTCTCTTTTCTGAAGGTCCTCGGCTCGCTAGCCAGGTGAGTCAAAGTTTCAAATGTGCAGTGAAACAGTAACTATTAAGTGTATTTGCTTCCCACATGCTGGCGACTCCTTACTCCTAGAGATCTTGAGATTGTGGCTCAGGAAAGCTTTGTTTACTTTCCCCTTCAAAGTATTCTGCCTCTGTCATTTCAGTGCCTGTCACAGGCCTCTCAACACAAATGACAAGTAATGGACAAAGAAGGTCTCTGTGCCTCATCCCACTTCCACATCAATAAGGAGTGGTATCTGGTGGCCTTTCGACCCAGGCCATGCTCAGCGGGCCTATTTGCACTTCTGTTAACGTTTTTCTTCCCGCTTCAGCTGGCTGAAATGTCAACCAGAGGTAACTCAATTAAGAACCCCTGGGGGCAACAGCCGCTGGGAAGAACAGACCTAGCACTCAAGGTGAGAGTGGGCACCTCAGTGGCGCCTGCCTGCACATCCTGCGTGCCCACCGCACATCCTTACTTCTTCACACCGTCAAGCGCTCTCCCAAGTGCACCCCAGGCCCTGACCCCAGCAAAGCAGGCCTGGCTCCACCCACCTCTGGATCATATGAACAGGAAGCTCTGCCTGACACTAGGTGCCTGACTGCCAGCCTCTGGGCAGCAGAGCTGCAAGCCGAGCACCTGTCCCGATGCTCGGTTGCGGGGTGGGGGTGGAGGACTGGATCGGACCGGTCGAGGCATGGGCCAAGAAGTCCTGTGAAGGGCTCCTGAAGAGTGAAGAAGGCCTTTCCGGCCTCTGAGAAGGGGAAAAGGACCTCGCGGGACGCAGCGATGATGCCTGCGGCGCAGCCGGGAGAGCTCGCCCATGCGCCGCTCAACGGCTCCCGCAACAGCAGCAGCGTGGCACGGACCCCCGCCCGGCCTCGGCCCGCCCTACCTCGTCTTTTAGCGCGCACAATGCCCTTCTTCTGCAACACGAACGTGGACCCGTTCACCAGGCTCGACACCACAGCCACGCCCAGGCCGAGCGACACGGCGGCGGGGCTCGGACCCTATGCCACTCTAGATCGGAAGAGTGGCATAGG